TTTTATCGACTAGCTCATAAAACAACAGCCTAAAACGAAATGCTGTGCTTCTGTTTATCATATGACAGACCCTTAAAGAACAGGGTATCGTTTTCACGACTAATTAAAGCCGAATCAAGAATATTTAATGGTCTATACTAACATGATATATAAACCGATGCATTTTTGCTGTATAGATTTATTTTGTGCCATTCTAAGCGTTATCTTTTCTTACTGTATTATAGTTACTCATTTCGAATAAGCCTTCTAAATAACTATAAACATGCAGCAAATTACACTAAGTAAGACGAGTAAATTATTTCTATTTTGGCAATATAATAAGCTACCATATTCTGCTAGAATTATACCAGGCTACCAGCGAGCGTTCTCACTAATATGCTCTCCTTCGATGTACATTAATCAATTTAAGTATCATATTGACGATTTTCAAACCAAATAAAACCCTTTATATCCTAATATAAACCATTATTTTAGATATAGTGCCATTTTAAATCTTTTGCCGGTAAGACACGTTGCAGCACAAGGGTTTATCTAAAGAAATTCTATTATATCCTACTTTTATCAGTTACATCGATAGAAGATAGAGACCGATTATCGTTTTTTTATTTTTATTTTTTACTTGAGCCGAAACATCCTTTCTGTACCCATCTTATTTGTTTATCACAATGAAATGGTCCTTATGTTTAGGCGCTGTTGCTATCCTTCGCCATCAAGCTAGTATTGATTTCGGCCTACTAATGAGTGGAAAACTGACGCTAGTTGAGTTGGAACGTGTCCGAAAGTGCGTCATTCCGGCCGCAATCCGACTACCCCACTTCATGGCAAATCGGGAGCGCTATATGACTTCATTGCGTCAAATCGCCCGCATCAATGGCATCCAGATTCTACCAAATGATGTAAATAGCCAATCAGGAGAACAGCAGCCATTTCGGCTACTTTCTATAGTCCCATCGAGCTGTAGCAATATGAAACCACCAGCAGCAGGAATTACGGCTCGGCAGCTGAGGTCTAGCCAGAGTGTCACACGACCGTATTTCGTCACGGATAATCCACCACCACTCTCCCTTCAGGTAAGTCTTGAGTAGTACCTGAATCCGAAACGGTTCCAAAAAGATAGTAAATCTATTATTATACACTTAGTCATCCAAGCTTCTTCTACCATTGTATGCTGTTAATGAATATATTTCTTCGGCTGTGACGATTCTTGATGGCATCGTATACCAATTAAGGTTTCGAAGAAAGTTTATCAATTCACTTGCACCCGGATTCTCCATCCATCTGGCTCTACGTGGTCGGACCTGACCTTAAAATTTAATATATCCTTTTTTAAATCCTCTCTTCGAATGCTGGACTTGAGATTGGAGGGCATTTTAGTCACAAACTCTAGCTGTTTTTTAATACATTGACAATAAAGTTTTCCTAAGTTATTAAAATTTCGTGGTTAGGACTCTTTCGGTAAAATTCTTTCCCAAAGTCTATTAGATCTAATAGAGCTCTTTCATTGTATAAATCACAGTAAGTTTTTGCAATTTCTATCTCATTTTGTTTAATAGATCTATGAAAAAGAGTCTCTCAGTTACTAATAGAACTGTATATCACCTTTTCTCGACTCAGAAAAATCACTGCATCGTTTTATACATCTTTAGGATAGGTAATGCATTTATACTGTAAGCCTTAATAAGGTATGCGAGGACTCATCTTGACTTTTGTTCATAAAAGAAACCAAACTTCTGAGTTCACATGACTTTGAATGTATCTCACCAGCCCAGAGCCAATCTTAACATGATATAATCGTCCAAGTCCGTCAACTCCTTATTGTTTTTGGCTATTTCTGAGGCAGTTCTATTTTTGATATGCAGATCTATTGTACATTTTGCGTCGCATTTACTTAGTTGCATTTGCCTTTAATATCGACTACATTAATTACTTTTCGTTTCTAAGTAGGTTTTCCAGACTACCACTAGATCTTATATAAGGGGCGTATTCACCCCATTTGGTTTAAGATGAATACTGCTCTTATATAAGATTAACGGATAGTCTTGAACCCCTATTTATGAACTCAAAACAAATAATTTAGTTTTTTTTAATAGCAAATAATATTTATTGACAATCCCACCACAGAAATGCGATATGGTCAGGACCTAGGCTTCCTTAAAATTCCATTTGCCTTGCGACTCAGGGGCAGTCATAACAATGTAGCTTAGTGGTTAACGTGTCGAGGCTATACTTTGCCCTACTTGGGTTTGAGTCCCGCTATGGGCGCTGATGTGACCTAGGTTAAATCGTAACTGCAGTCTCACCCTGAATGGTAGCACCCTTTGGGAAGCAAGGTTGTGTGAGATTCAATGTGAATGTGAGGCCTACTTACATCATTGTGGGAAAATTAAGCTACCAGTCCTTCGTCATCTTAAATAAAATAGGGTGAATACCGCTTTTATATATGACCTAATGATGGTCTTGGACACCTACTTATAAATGTAAAATAAAGCTCACGTATCGCTTATGATTTACAAAGCCCCGGTGCTTGGATCATTCAGGGCCTTAAGAACTTAGTGGAATCCTACTTTATGCCTTATGATCAAAGCCAAGCACCAAATAAACATAAATGCCTTCGCCCTATTGTAAGTGTAGTAGTTTTGTATCATCATTTTTTCATAGAAGTAACAATAATGGGCCGAGATTGCATGCCATAGTTACATAAGCGCTTTTCGTAGACTTACTCGTTTTTACCACTGCTCTTAATTTTTAAGTCTCATCATGGTATAGTTTTTTAGCGAATTACCATTACGTTTTTTTGCTGCGTTTTCGACATTGGCATGTCATTGCTACATGTCTATATTTGTGAATATGTATTTCATTATTAGGTTTCCAATTGACCAAAGAATATTTGCAATTAATAGTAGGGCTAATTTACAGCCATAATTAAGCATTTTATTCACTTCTGTCACTCACAAGGGAGAACATACTATTCTATTCATCGGGATTTTGATTTCGCATGGTAGTTTAAGTCTCACAGGAATCCTAAGAAGACTCGCTTGAAGAAA